AAGCTATTGTCAGATTGTTATGGATATGGTCGGCTATCTTCGGCGAGGTTACATCATACTTGGGCACTGTGACTACCCTGAGTAGACAAATTATCAGTGACCGCAGGAACACGATTGTATGCACCAAAAATGCTGATGGCAAATGAATGTGCTCGGAAAACAGCACGAGCCTGTTAGCAACATTCTCAAAAATTACAACATACAGAGGCATTGTGCAAGCGAAGATGCGAGTGAACAGTGTTCAAGTGATAATGTACTAACAGTTAGCTGGAATATGTGGGTTTAGCAACGGTTTAGCAATTAGGTTGCTTCTTCGTGAGAAAGATACATAAATATGCCCATATATATTCTTTGATGAGCCCCCGTGGTTGGTCGCTGAAGAAGAAGGGTCAATACAGCTGACCACTTTAAGAAGGCCCCTTAAAAGGTTTGTTCAGGTGAGGTCATTTGCAAAATTTTACAAGGCTGTGTAGTTCTCCTTTCCTGAGTTGCTGATTCAAAAGATCGAGAAAAAAAAATAGTCTCTTGCGAGTTAGCCTCATCTAAGAGGGATTTCACCACTAACCTACACACTACAAGCCAAACAAACTTATTTTCGGGGGTTTCACCATGAACGGATGGCTAAAATTACCTTAGCATTGCATCGCTGGGTGATGATCCCCATGACTCAGAAAGTGAACCTGAATATTGCCCAATGGTGCCACGCGGATTATATGAATATTATCACCGGTCAAACACAGAGTTCAACAATGCTTTAGACAGTCTTTATTCTAAAGCGCTAGAATGTCCGCGATAGAGTAGGAACATTGACAATAATTTTGCTCATCATTTCAAATCAAAACGAAGGATTCTAATTAAATTCCAGGTGGAAGAGCTAGGCTTCTTATCGAAGTTTTTTCTCAGATATTACTGTGTAGGGGGTTGCTATAGACGATAAGGGTGGTTTTCACGGAAGGTGTTATTTCAAAGACTCACATTATTAAGACACCATTTCGGTGTATCACTGTGTTGTCACCAAACCTGAGGTGTGTGCACTGTCATTTGCCCACGTTTTCAGTAGATGTTCAGCCCAAAAGGGATATAGGCTTTTCAACTAAGTCTAGCTGGGTCATTCTTCATGAGTGTTCGTTATTGTGGAGGTGTCGCAACAATAAGAGAATCGAAATGTCATATAAAAGTACATTTAAATTCGGTGTGTTATATGGCAGTGTACATCGTCCAATATTCTAGATTGATCGCACTCAAGTAGTCTTTTCCGGAAACGCCACTTTGTGATTCCGCCGAACGATTATTCCGGAGGGTATATGGTTAAAACAACCAAAGCATCAAACACCCTGTCCAATAGATCTATACACTGAAGATATACCTGTCCTTTGAGAGATGACCAACCAGCTGTAATCATTTTTGGGATTTGCACGCTCCTGGATAGTGTACAGTGCCGAAAGGCCTCAAGAAGTAAACCACAGTGGTTTTCTTCTTCTATTCGGGTATCTGACAAACAGACTTGCAACTTCAGTCAGAACATCTTGTTTCGAGGAAAAGCAACTGTAACCCGTTTTTCATCTTTATTCTTTCACAGTGCATGCTTTACCTTGGCGAAGCTTTGAAGTTGAAAGGTGATTTGCTACTTCCAGACAGTCCACAGTCGATGCGCTTGCCGGATGAACTCAATTCAGCAGGAGCTGCGCTACCGACG